CCTGCTCAGTGTTCACGAAAGTGTCAACTAATCATTTTCCCAATTCTGAGCATGGGAAAGGGTTTAGAGTCAAGCTTCAGTCGTCGTATGAAAGCGGACAGAGAATACATTTGCGAGCGCGGTGCAAGCAGAGGCGCAGCGTCCACGCGGGGTGAGCGGCTACTATTGCACCCGACAGTGCCATTGAAATAGCCTGTACAAGCATTTCTGTGCATATAAATAACCTCGTTCATCCAATTTCCAATTCAGCTCTCGATATTTCGATTCGGATTTTCCTCCTTTACCGCCACCGTCCAGTAGTTTGAGTGCTAGAAGAAAGAGATCCATTTCTTTAGAAAAAAAGCTATCTGTGAAGGTAAGTTGAACACTAGCATTCAAAAATTGACCTTTCTTGAGATCTCCAGCCATTGCATCGTTTTGATCGAAACCCTCTAGCACGTTGACAGCAGCTTTTCCTCTACCTTTCTTCCTGAGAAACGCTCCTAACCTAGCGTTTCTTTCCTGGAATCTTTTTTGAAGTGTGGCATATCAAACAAATCAAATATTTACCTTATTCCGAAGTGTTACCAATTCTGTGATGGGAAAAAGTTTTCCCTTCTCGTTGTTTAGAAGAAAATCGGAGACGCGAGTTTTGATATAATGGTCAACAAAGCCGTAGTCATTTGTAGCTTTGGCATACCTATAAAAACTCTTTCCTCCTCTTTATTCCAAATATGATATTGAACTAAAAATTTATCAGAGTCTCACCTCATCATTGTCATCATCTCTCCTCCACCATGCATGTCAACCATGTGGTAAAGCTTCATGTCTTCTCGTAACCGACCTCCACCAACTTCGCCTTCGCGAGGCTCCACCGAACCAGACGCTCCCATCTTGGAAGGCCGCAGGAGAGCTTGGTTCCTATTTAGAGGCACTAATAAGTAAGTGCTATTCAGTTACTGAATCTTCCGATACGATTGATAGAAAGTATAATAGGGGATATCTTCGAGTTTTTTACATGTGCCATACGCTTCAAAAAAGGCTTTTTTCAATCAAAAAATTTGGATAGATCTTTCTGATGTGAAGAGCATGGATGTAGTTTTCCACCGTAAACAAATCAGTAGAATCTCACACTTCGACAACCCGTGCGCTCGATGATGAAAAGATGACGATGCAAGAATGTTCGAGAAAAGAGGAAAGCTCATGATAGTTTTGATCCTCCACAGATCTTGTCATGCTTGTGCGCCCGAGGCATATCTGGCGAATTCGGTAGAGTTACTTTTTAACTCTGCTAATGTTTCTCCGTCTCCGTACCTATTAAAACTTCGTAAGGAAATTAAGATCCCATGAATTTTTAGACTAAAACTTGACATTTACGCCCCTTCACTGCCTTGAGGTGGCGAATTAAAATACTAACGGGTAAATGAGATTTGCTGGCAGCTGCTACTTTAGCAGATTGGTCTCAGCCATTATGTCATGATCTTTGTCACAATATCGAACACTACATTTGCAGCGGTGACGGAATTGGGAAATTAGTAGGGAGGCGAAGTGCACCATGCGTGAGTTTAGATGGGAATGATTCTATGGCTTGTAGTTTCCTCCAATTTCTAGAGAGCTGGCTCCGATCATTTGTTTCGACCTTGAGTCTTGAGCACTAATCAAGCAAGTGTCCATGTTTGTTAAAACTTAGGTACATATGGATGGTGCTGCAGTTGGGATCTGAATGCTGAATCAGAATCGCTGGTAACTACGCATTGCAAAAACTAGGAAAACAGGTGCGAAATGTACAGATTTTGGACACAAGTTTGCAAATTTGTTAGCCTTGTTGAAGAGCAAAATATTCTAATTTTGCAGAATAGAATTAAAGCGCCTAGCACACGTATGCGGACAAAGAGACACTACAGACAATGCGTATCCCAGCATTGTAAAAATTCAGTTTTCTTTGACGTCTTTGCTCCGTTCCTCACGATACCTACCGCAACAATATTCCGAATGTACACAAGTTGGCAGCGTTACCAAAGCAACCATTCGAGGAAGTGGTAAACTTGGATCGTAAAAAACAAAGATCCTTAGAGAATAAAGGTAAGGTACCAAGGATGGCAAAGCCTTCCAAACAACGATACCGTTTGAAGGAGTGATTAATCTAAGTGAGATTTTAGAATGGTTTTTCAAACACTCGGATGGCATATTTGAACCAACATGCTCCTTATTACAAGTCAAGCTTTCTCCTTCGCCCAATTTTTTCCTATTGTATATTTCCTATAATATGATTTTTGCTGATGGAAAGAATTTCATTGATATTGCATTAAGTTGATGAAATAAGCCTTACATAGGAAATACTCGACAGATCCGTTCTACGAATTGTTTTTGAAATAATACATCTGAAGCTTGCAGTCATTTATACTTCCAAACATTAAGGGTAAGAAAGTTAAAACAATGAGTTAAAAAAAAGACAATTACGGAAAATGTCGAAAATTGTATCTGCAAGAAATTTTGATGCAGAGAAGCGTGCCATCATAATGGCGGTCGTGACTGAATTGAAACTGCAACACTCACATAAAGATTTTCCAGCACTAAACAAATGGTTCATCAGGAACTTTTACTGTTCCTCATTTCCTTATAATTTGTACAAGTCCTTCTACTTAGCGAAACAGACATTTTTAGAGGGTACTGGATCCGAAATTATTTTGAGCGAAAAGAAAAAGAAATTTTTTTTTGATCTGTAATAGGTGCTTTAGCAGATATTTGAGATCTTGAGACAGCAGCTTTTTTTGGAGTTCAGCTCGGTTGCAGCTCGTTCCAGCAAAAATGAGCTTCGTTTGTTTGTTCAATAATGGACCGCGAAACAAGGCTTTTAGCACACAATGCTACCATAAGATTGACATCAAAACTCATTTTTTTCGAGCACAGTTTTCACCTACGCTCGCTCAGGAGCTAGCTGTATTTCGAATTCAGCAAAAAGTGGACTTTCAGTGGAGTTGTTTCATATAATCGTAAAGTGCACTTAAAAGTGCGATGATTGGTCAGCATCTACAAATTCTATACTATCTCTTAGAAGAATCTTGAAGCTGGAGAGCCATTAAGGCGCAGTACGCAGAAGTAACCTCGGCCAATGTTGTTATGAAGAAAAGTCACCTGGTTCGAGCTCGACAGATTGGATTCGATTAGTCGCGCTGCGTTTACGACTTTTCTCATACTCATTGGAGGAATTTGTAGCAGGACAGTCGGATTACTCAGAATCATGAAGCTAAATTTTCGCAACAATGTAGATCTCTGAAATCAGATTGTAGGGGTTCTAAACTAGTCACTTCTGGGAATGTCAGTGAACTCATCAGTTGCTCTTAGGCACATATCAAAATTGAAACAGCTTGTTGATGTATAAGATGGAAATGCTCTGAAGTAGGACTTTCTGAAGACCTAATCAAATACAACTTGGGGTTATCTAATTAGACATGAGTGAAGAAAGTTGCAAAGTTTTGAGAGAAATGTATTTAAACTGCTAATTTTTTTGTTTTGCGAAAGCCAGTTTTCGAAAATATCAAATTCAACATTCTTTTTTGGGTTTCTGATATGGTATTTCCTAATAAGTAATTTTGGTAAAAAGCTAAATATTCGTAGTCATACTTATAAAGGCTTTTAGTGTAGAACTGCTTAAGTAAGAGCGTCTTAGCAATGCTCTGGAAAAAAAA